GGCAGAGAAAATTAAATTGCTCTGTAGTCATCCCCAAAACTGTGCTCTGTCACAGGACTTGAATATGGGAGATTTTAAAAACACACCTCTGGCAGGTAATGAGGTCTCACTTTTGTACCACCATTTATGCAAACAATTTTGAGGAATTAAAATTGAACAGGAATTTAGAAACACCTTACCTTAAATATCTCATACATCATCCTATAAACCTAATTGTTTGCATTTTACGAAAGGAGAAAGTTCATATTTTTCTCATGAATTTGTCTTTAAAGAGACTTTGGGGGACAAAAATAGAACTGAATTCTGCCTCCATCACTTTTTTAGCTGTGTGGTCTGGGGAAGGCGGGAATTTCAATGTCTCAAGTTCTTCTGCTACAAAGTGGTAACAATAACACAGAAGGCTGCTGTAAAGATTAGTAACATGAAATGGCATGCAGTTGCTGAAAATCTATGACATGGTGACTTTAATTTTTTAAAGCATCAAAAAAAAGTATCCCATCCTCATTATCTATTTTCACTGAGCACATATTCCTGAAGACCATCTAGAGCCAGATTAAGTGACATGCTAGCACATATCCACTGTTCAAAGGGAGCCAGAGAAGATCTTTTTTCTATTAATTCAAATGCTCAACATAATTCTCCAGGGGACCTTGGCACCCTAACATTAATTTCAAAGTATGGGACAGAGAATGGCCTTGGATCCTGCCATGAGCAGTTATCATTTAAACCCTATGATCTACCTCCTGTGTCTGCAATCCTAATCAAATGAGCATATGGGAACCAAGACTTCCCAGGCTATTCTAGTAAAGATGGGTTATCATGCGTGGGCATCCTAAGACTCAGTCCTACATCTGTTTGTTAATTTGGGGGAATCCCCAGCCAGTCCTTTGCTCAGTTAAAAACACATATTGATCATCTTTCATGTCATTGATAAATCACTATGGAGCTAAAGACAGATATGATTTTGTGCCTGTCTTCAAGGACGTGGGAATTTAGTGGGGTAGACAGCTCAGTCATGGACTAAACCACACATTAAAAAAAATAAAAATAATCACAGTCAAAGAAGAAAGACAAGAACAATTTATTTTGCCCAGGACAGTGAAAATGCAATGCTGGCAAGGACATGGAAAAAAAGACAAGTATTATACACTGTTTATGGGACTATAAGTTGCCATTAAAATATGGATATCAGTATGAAGGCTCCACAGGAAAAAGTCTAAATAAAGCCAGTTGTTCAGCTATTTCACTCCTGATATATATATATCTGGAAAAAATAAAATAGGCCTACAAAAGAGACATCTTAATTGCCCAAGTTTGTTGCCACGCTATCCACAATGATTATTACAAAATCAGTCTTAGTGCCAATTAACAAATGAATGGATAATTAAAATGAGTTATGTAGACAAGTACAGTGGACTATTATACAGCCACAAAGAGTGAAACCTATCATCTACAGAAGAATGAAAAGAACAGGATGCTACTATGTTAAGTGAAATCAGTCATGAAGAGGAAGTCAAACACAGCATGAATTTTTTGTATGTGGAAACTTAGCAATGATAGACCTGTAAGTAGAAAACCAAGTATTAGGGATGTGAAGGTAAGGGGTTATATGAAGGATGGTTCAGTATTATTGATGCGTGGTGTATTTGTATAAAGCAACATTACACTGAACCCCACTCGGACACTAGAGATCTGCAAAAATCAGGAGTCACTCTGTCCATAGGATTTTTCAAGACTTCCCAGTGTGCTGAAATGTGCAATTGATATGTGTTAATAAAAAATTTCTAAGGAAAAATGTGGCACAGTCCTTAAATAAATCACCTCTTCCTAGGTGGGAGAGTGGAAACAGGTGTTTCTGGCAGAGGGAGAGATCTAAAGGAGAGAAACGACTGTTGACAGGGGGAGGTTCTCCTAGAACATTATGTTTAGGATTCACATTCATAGAAAACCTTCCCTGGCTCCTATAAGAATGTTAGATGTATTTCTGCCTGCCACTTCATCTGGTTTTGGCTGATCTTCAGGAATATATACTCTGTGAAGGCAGAACAGCCCATTGTGGTGATGGTGGTGGTGGTAGTGAAAAACAAAACGAAACAAACAAAAAGCAGACATGGCAGAGACTCACAGAATGGAGTCATAATGATGGCCATGTTTATTTTCTCCACTGATGTACGATGTAGAGAACAAAACTGCCATTCTTTAGTTTTATTATCTTGATTAATTCTCTTCAACACCTCTGAGCCTTACTATCGTTATTTTAAAGTCCGTTATTATTTTGGGGGGATGTGGCAGAGGCTAAGGTCAAATCATGGTAAAACTGCTAACATGTTCCAATGGCTATATTAGGTAGGATCTTGTATTAGGGTTGTTTCTTTTATCCTTTTTATCCTTTTTTTCTCAGTATTAGGGATGAAATCAGGTTTTTTTCCATACTAAGAAAATAGTCTCCCATGAACTCTATACCTATCCCTGCAAGATGCATTTATGCTTTTCCCTTCCAACTGGAAAAGAAATGTATTCATATGTTCTAGAGTTTGGCAGTCCTGGGCTAGCACCCCACTGCTTCCACTCCCAAGGAATAGGACCTTAGAGAAGCTACAATTGATACTTTGAAACTCTCAATTCTCTTCTCTTGAAAATGGTACTTGATGCCTGTGTCATCGGGGCTACCGAGAAGTTTAAATGAGATAATAGATGGAAAGTTCCTGGCACAGAGAAGGCCCACTGCCAAAAGCAGCCAATTATTTCATCTGAAAGCTTTACCTCCTAACCCTCAAGCTTTTAAGGTTCATTTGTCAAAATTGGAAAATGTGGTCTCCTTAGAACATCCTTTGGTGCACATGTGACCAGAGAGAAAAGATGGTTTGTATCCCAATGGACCTTGGTCATAACTTTGCTCTAAAACATTCATACTTTAACCTCTGAACCTATAGGCAATCCATTCTTTTCATTTCTTTTTTATCAGAACTCTCAGGTCTATTCTTAGTTCCTTGATTCTACCCACCAGGGCCAACATAATATCTACTTTGGTGATGAAGCCAATGGAAACACAGAACAAGTGTCTGCTGTGGAGTTGTGGTCTAACATCATGGTACTAGGGAACAGAAGCAAGAGTATGAAGAAAACCCACCAGATACTCCCAGACCCACCCTTAACTCTGCAAGGTGAGCCACCTGCCTCCTATGTGCCTCCACCACTCTCTACCTTCCACCACCTGTACCACACTTCCATCCCCAAGAGAACTACAACAGAGGTTTGTACAATACAGAGGATGTGCTTCCTTCCAAATTTGAATTGCTTATGCAAGTCTAGTCATTGCAGTTGTAAATAAGAAGGCAGACAGGAACATGTGGAATACCTTAGCAGACTGAAGATGAAGCCAACAGCAATTGCAGGGTTTCAAACTGTTCCTGGTGGTGAGCAAACCCTGCCTGGGGGGAGGGTCTCCTAGCTGTCTACTATCTACACAGAGAAGTGATCCCTGCTGTGAAAGAAGCAAAAGGCAGGGGAAATTGAGCAGGTTTCTAGCCTCTGCATCTGCCTTCACGGCGCATTCACTCTGGACAGCCTTGCATGCCGTTTCCATGGAGTCGCTCCTTCTCTGGTGCTAGTGATGCCAAAGCCAGCAAAGGAGAAGTCCCCTGAAGAGCTCACAGAAGGGCAGCCTAGCAACCTATCCTTGAGCCAGGAAATGAAAAAGCTATATCAGCCGCCAAGAGCTCTGGTGTGGGTTAGGTCAAATGGTGTTTTGTTTCTAACACTTCTTCCTCAGGCAGGTGTTGAAAGAGGAAGATGTTTTGAAGATGGCAGGGCAGCAGTTCTTAACTGTTTGGGGGCCACGGGCCCATTCACAGAGCAATGGTATCAGAAAGAAGTGTTCAAATCCTTTGCATGCAATTTCAAGAAGGACTCAAGAGAGGAAACTTCTGCTCTGGGATTAAGTGTCAGGACAAACAGGCTGTGGACAAACATTTAAGTGGCTGACCCATTTTTTGATAGCCTTCATCGTGGTGTGGTGTTTAGAACAGTGGTTCACAGATTCTCTACAATCCAGAACCAATTATAGCAACAGGTAAAATACAAATGACATTTTTCATCCCCTGTCCCAGCAAACCCAAATACCTAGAGCTGGATCCTGGGAATGCACATTTCTAACAAGCCCTCAAAAATCATTCTGTGATAGCCAGCTGGGTTTGTAGCATGGATTCTGGATTGGAAGCTCTGGCTTCACCCTGTAATTTTAGACAAGTCATCTCTGAGTCTGATTTTCTTTGGGATTCTAGAGAAATGCTGATGTTTTTACAAACAGGTGGTTTGATTTTGTTTAAAAAGGTGAGCAGAAAAGTGCCTCAGCTTCCTCCTCGGTATAATGCATATCATGAAGGTCGCCTTCCTCTTCGGTGTCTCCCCACTCCCCTGCTAGATACAACAGTCACCTTAGCAAAGCTGCTGAGATAGTTTGTGGATATGTGAGAGTGAAAATGCTCTCTCCGGGAAGACCAGCAGGGCAGTGTTGGCATTAACACAGAGGAAAACGCTGGCATCGACAGAACAACAGACCAGGGTGCAAAATCCGATGCAATTAGCTTATTTGCTGCATGATACAGAACAAGATGCCCAATCTCATGGTGGATCAGTTTTTTTCATCAGTAAGTTGCAGACAGCCGTTCATTAATTTTTATATAGCCCTAAACTGGTCCTCTCATCCTCATTTTGGCTTCTCTCTACTAACCCTTAATCTGACACAAGAGAGGGTTGTTTAAAAGGTGTACCCTATGAAGTTCGACGCCAGGGCTGGAGTGTGAGCTGTTATTTCTGTGCTTCCTACCCATAGTACCTAGGTGCTTACATCCCCCTCTCCGTTAAATGGACACACTGCTACGTTTTGTCACAAGACTGGTGAGAAGAATAAATGGGATGTCCGTGCAAGCGCGCTGGCACACAAAAAGCGCTCAGCAAATGCACTCCCCTTCCCCCCTATACAAAGGTGAAGAACTCTCATTGTTCACTTGCTTTCGGTCCCACCTCGTGTTTAAGGCATCCGGTCGCAAAGCAGCTGAGGAGAGCCAAGGCGGAAGGCGATAGGAAGAAGGGAAGAGAGGGGAAGCTGCAAACTCACGAGTGAAATGTAAATGGGCCAGGTCGGTGAGTCCGAGCTGCACTTGACGCCGCGCCCGCTCCCTCGCCAGTCTGCCGCAGCCCCCTCCAGCAGGTCCCCCCCCCCTCTGGCAGGCATTAGCATCCTGGCCCAGGCTTTGCGGGGGAGGCCGCCCCCGTACACCGCTGATTGGCCACGCCACCCCTCTCGTCATGCTCTTTTGTCTCAATGGGCAGACGCTAAAAGCAGCCGCTGCTGTTCGCAAGCTGAACTGGAGGGCGGGGGCAGCTGCAACTGCCTTGGAAACCGCTGCGGCAACTGCGCTACCCCTGGCTGGGCAGCCCAGATCTATTGGGTAGCCTAGACAGCTCACTGGCTGAGGCGCCATCCTTTCCCTGCAGGGCCTAAGAGACGTGACAGCTGTTCCTGACGCCCGACCATCCATCCGTTGTCCATCTACGAAGTCCAGGTAAAGAAAGGGAGGTGAAATCAGTTAACGCGGAGATGGAAGAATGAAACCTTACAATTTGGGGCTTCAGAACTGATAACTTCAAGGCAAGGTAGTGGTCAGGCTACATGGTGGGAGGAGGTGAGCTTCACTTGGATGCTACCTTAGGGTAGATTTGCCTGGGTTGGAAAAAAGGACATCCCCACCCCCACCCCTAGAAAGGTAGCAAATGGCAGAGGGGAAATTTTTCAGTCGGTCTGTCATGAAGTCCCTTTTCTCTCATTTCTTCGTGGATAGATCCGGAGGGGGGGGTGGGAGGGTATCCAATTTCTCTTTTTTTTTCTCCATGGCAGCCCATCAAAGCCGATTCCGAACTTGAATTCTGTATGACTGATTGCGGAGCTGGTAGGCCGCTGGTTTCTCGGGTGAAGCTTATTGGGGGAGGGGTGGGCCCTTTGGCTTTTATTCTGAAGGTAGGGTTTTTCCACCTGGCAACAATGGAGCCAGTGAAGGGATGAAGAGGCTGCTTCTGACGTCTTCCCTTTCCTTCCCTTTGCTGTGGCGCAGTATAAACTACAGGTTTGGAGCACCCGGATCTGAGAAGCCTGTGGACACAGATCAACCCTGCCCAGGACCAGAACACGCATGGAAAGCACCTGTTGCAGAGGCTGGGTTTAGGAAAGGTGAAGGCCATCTTCTGAGCTCTGGTAAGAATCAAAGGGGTGGGGTGGGGGGCCGTTATGACCTAATATCTTTAAGGCTTTACTCTATTGTCCTCTATTTTGAGTTCTCTATTTGGTATGGGCTCCAAAGGCTATTGCATCTAGAATGCCAAGCAACAGTTGCTGCCTCTCCTGGAGAACAGGCAGTGAGTGAGATGGGGTACAGTGAGAAGGGAGTAAATGTGACTGTGACAAAGGCCTCACTAGTGCAGGGGAACCTTATTGCTCCTTAAAGTTAAGTCCCAGTTTCCTGCTGAGTGGTTTTAGGGCAGTGGGCAAATATATAAGCCTTTAGAAAATGTGACTAGAAGCTTCATTCCAAGTCCCCTGTGTTTTTTAACCTTTTTTTTTTTTTTTTCTTTTTCTTTTTTCTTTTACAGTTCTTACTCAAACACAAGGAAGGCACTGCCCAGGAACGTTTCTTTGGAGGTTTCTGCCGACTGGGCTGATTTTGTTCACAGAAAGCCCAAGCATCTTGCATTCAGATACCCAACTGTTGTCAGACATGGCTAGCATCCTTGCTCGGATGGGTAACAGCCGAAGGCAGAACGCAGCTTTTCTGCCTTTGGCCCATTCCATGCTGAGGGCCCTGGGGAGGAGTCTTGGTCCTTTGCTAGCCAACATAGCAGATAGAAACATGAAATTGTTTTCTGGGAGGGCAGAGCTGGCCCAGGGGGAAGAAACCTTTGAGAACTGGCTAAGCCAAGTCCAGGAGGTCCTGCCAGACTGGCACATGTCTGAGGAGGAAAAGCTTAAACGCCTGATGAGAACCCTCAGGGGCCCTGCCCGGGAGGTCATGCGTTTGCTCCAGGCTGCCAATCCCAATTTAAATGTGGCAGAATTTCTTCGGGGAATGAAACTGGTGTTTGGGGAGTCTGAGAGCAGTGTGACAGCTCATGGTAAATTTTTAAACACCCTGCAGGCACATGGAGAAAAACCTTCCCTGTATATGATCCGTTTAGAGGTGCAGCTGCAGAATGCAATCCAGGCAGGGGTCCTTGCTGAGGGGGAGGCAAACAGGATTCGCATGCACCAGCTTCTTGTAGGGGCTGAGCTCAGTAGGGACCTGCGCATCAAGCTTAAGGGGCTTCTCCAAATGCATGCATATAATGAGCAGGAAAGCCTTCCTGACTTCCTGGAGTTAATCAGGATGGTAAGGGAGGAAGAAGAGTGGGATGACACTTTTTTTAAACATAAGCGGCCCAGAAGATCTGAGACAATAATGGAGAGGGCTGCCAGCCCTATAGTCTTTCAGGGCTCCCTGCCTATAGTGATAGGCAGCACTGACTGCAATGTAATAGAGATAGATGACTCCCAGGATGACTCAGATGAAGATGTGATCCTGGTGGAGCCCGAGGACCCTCCACTGCCATCCCCGGATGCCCCCTCCCTCCAAGGCAGAGCCACTACACAGGATGAAATGCTAGCTATTGAATCTCCCAACAATTTTGATGATGAGTCTCCTTCCACTAGCAGTGGTTCTGGGCAAAGGAATAATGGGCCTGGGGATCTACGCAGAACCAGAAAGCGAAAGTACCCAATCCGCTGTCCCCACTGTGGTGAGGAGGGGCATGCAAAAGAAACCTGTGACAACACCAGCAACAAGGTCCAGGTTTTTGAGAATCTGATAGTCACTCTTCAGGAGCTGACTCATATGGAGAGATCAAAACCCCCTACACCATACTAAGGTGTGAGCCTCAGCCCCAGATCAATATTTAACTCTATCCAGAAGCTGATTCTGCAGGAAACAAGGATGGGGTGGGTTTCGAAAGGAATTTATTCAAAAGCAGTCTTCTTTGGGGAAGACAAAGCAGGCTTGCATACCACATAAAGGAGAGGGATGGCCCCCACATCATTCCGTGCTTATTCCTCTGACTGCTTAATGGTTGTTTCCCTGTGTGTATTTCTGTGGTGATTTAAATCTGTTCATGAAGTGGTATCTTTCTGAACCTTCCAAATGAAATTTTAAAAAAATCCCTAAAGTATGCATTACCTGAAATTCTCACCCTGATACAATCGTTGTCAACCCTTTGGTGATTGTCCTTCTGTATATTTTCCTGTACCTGTGTGCCTGTATATTTTCCTGTACCTGTGTGCCTGTATATTTTCCTGTACCTGTGTGCCTGTATATTTTCCTGTACCTGTGTGCCTAGATATGTATGTATAGATAAAAGTGATCAAATATAAGTGATGTTCTATATGTATTTTTTCATCAGGCAGTATATATTGTGGACTTCTAAATAAATGAATATATAAGCATCTAATTTAATGTCATCTCTTTGGGAAAGATTAAAACTGAAACCAATTGTAACAGCTATAGTAAGTAAGGGTGTTTTACTTAAAGGGAAAAATGGAAGCTGAGATGAGCTAAATAGCTCTTCAAAGCCTCTTATAACTGGCCTGCCTCCTAGTTCATAGAGCCATCTACACCAACTAGTTAATGTTTCAATGGCCTCAAATATATCTTGTGAAGGTGTGATTGTAGGCCAAAGAGGGGCTGTCCCCGTCCATCTGTTTCTGTCTCACCTCTTGGCTTGGGATCAGAGGATAAAGATGACATCAGATATCTATCTTTGAGCACCTCCCTTATGAGTACATTAGTCTTTGTACTAAGCATACTAAAGGAGAACGATTTTGGGCTGGAGGGATAGCTCAGCCGTTAAAGGCTAGGCTCACACCATAAATATAAGAGGAGAGGGATTTCATACAAGGCTGACAGGAGAGTGGAATGAATGCTGATCTAGGGATCTGAAGCATCTGTAAAAGACTTATTTTTATTTGAAGTGTACAGCATTTTGCCTACATGTATTATGAGCCTAGAGAGTCCAGAAGAGGGTGTCAGATTCCCTGGAACTGGGGTGTCTATAAAGGGTAGGAACTGGGAACTAAATCTAGGTCTTCAAGGGTGTAAATCATTCTTAAGTGCTGAGATATCTCTGCAGCCTCGATTTGAATCATTTTCCCCTAATATGATAGGGTTTGCAAAGGTCTAAGACAAAAGCATGCAGCAGTGGCAGCTGGCATGTCGGGAAGGAAGCACACAGCTGGCCAGGCAGAAACAAGGATGAAGAGAGCACATACGGATCAGGATGGAAGACAGGCAGAGACAGGAAGGCTAGCAACATTTGCAGACAGCAAGTTCCACACGGAACCCAGGACGCTGTGGTCTGTGGTTGAGAATATACTTATATGTTAGTAGGCTATACAGCCCACTAAATAGGGACAGTGGGAGTTCAGGCTGAGACCCTGAGAGAGGAGCAGAAGCCAGGTGCCACATGCAGGCTTCTCTAGGATGCTGCACTCACAACTTGCCTTAGAGTGTTTCTGCTAGAGTCACCCGACTTGCCTTCTGCTTGGGCTTGGCCTCTAGTCCTGTTCCATATCCCTACCCTCCCCCCATATCATTTGCTCCCCCTTTGCTGACGCCACACTCATCTCTTGGTGATGGGGCTTACCTTTTATGCTCTGCCCACCACCACCTCCCTGCTCCCAGAACTTCATATTGTCCTAAAGCCTCTGCCTCCTTAGCCTTGAAGACCAGGAAAGCAGAAGGGATTGTGTTCCTGAGATCCTTTGGCTGAGGACTTGCCAGGGGCATGGGTTCAAGGGGCCATGTATTACACTCTTCTGGAATACTTCCAGGCTTCTTGCACTCATTTCCATATCTCAGGAGCTCAAGGGGGGTCCTCCGCTGCCTCTCCCTGCATAGGTCCCTTGTGCCTCCAAAGCTACAGGATTCTCAACTCTCTTTCTGGGTTGTAGCCTTTTCTCTATCACTCTAAAATCTATCCTGGATCCCAGATTTTAAAACCATTTCTGCTTTGGCTGCTCATTTTTTCTCAGGCGTATGCTATGGTTTTAGGTGAGTTCCTCAGGTTTAAATGTTATGCGGCCACAATTTTGCTCAGAAAGTTTTAAGAAGAAGTGCATGCTATAGCCACCATTGCTGTCCTTTTTATTGCAGTGGCCTGGGAGATTCAGTATAGAGCACTGAATTGAAAACCTACCCTGCAACTTATCTTCTTGTCTTCCTTCTCCATTCTTTTAACTACACACACACCTGAAACTGTGTGCATTTTCATTGCATCAAAAATGATACAAAGTGGATAATTTCTAGTTCAATTTGTGGAACACTGAATTTTCCTTTATTCAAGAAATATGTACTAACTGGATGTAGTGGGGCACCCTTCTATTCCAGCACTCTGGACGCAGAGACATGCAGAGCTCTTTGAGTTCAAAGGTCAGCTTGGTCTACTTAGAGAATTCTAGGACAGCCTGAGCTACAGTCTCAAAATAATTAAAAGAAACAAGAAAAAGAAAGATATGTACCTTCTTTAACAGGAAGATATCAAGAGGAGAAAACCTGGCATTTCTGCCTTCATTTTGTGTCTGTATCCTTTTCCTTTCAGTTACCTGTTAACCTCTGCACATAGGCATGTTAATCACTCAAGGGGTTCTTCTTGTATTCACCCCTCTTCAAGGCTAAATGCAGACAGACAAGTCAGTCAGTGTCCTAATCCTACAGTCACCATGGGTTCTAGGAACAGCAAAACCTCACAGGAAAAATGTCTCCTAAGACAAGGGCAACTCTCTCTGATAGCACAGCTGCATGCTAGTACAGAAATAACCAACTCCAGTAAACTCAAGCAAGTACAGCAATAAAGACTTCTTCAGACTACCCTAACTTGCCTTTAATATCCTTTTACCTCTGAGCTCCTAAAGACTTATAGTGTGTAAGAGTCAATTCAGCTTTATGCAAGTTTTCAAATGATTATACAAATTGTTTTTTTGTGGAAGTTTTCAAGCAAACGTTTAGAGAATAGTGTAATGAAACTTCAACTATTCATCAGATAGTTTCAAGAATTGTTCATGTTTTATTTAATTATCTATTAATCGGGTTTTGAGGCAGGTTTCTTTGTGTAGTGTTGGCTGTCCTGGAACTCACTCTGTAGATCAGGCCTGCCTGTCTTCATGTTTTAATGCTGTGTTGTTCGCCTTTAATCCTAGCACTTGGGAAGCAGAAGTAGGCCCATCTCTGAGAGTTTGAGGCAAGCCTGATCTGTATCATGAACTCTAGGCCAGTCAAAGCTACATAGTGAAACCCAGTCTCAAACCGAAAAACAACAACAAAAAGGAATTGTTCATGTTTTACATAACTTCCTTTACCTACAATCTTTCACACTGTGTTGGATTATTGTTTAGATATTAGTCAACGTGAAAAAATGTTATGATTATGTACTATACCCATATGTATCTTTTCACATTTTTAACATTTTTATTGTACGAATTCAGTGACATTGAGTTCACCTTACAAATATTTTTTTAGTTCATACATGTATCGTTATTTTGGGCAAGACTTTTGTGCATACAACTTGACTTTTGAATCGATTTTCATATAACTTGTTTTGTCTTCCACCAATCTATACTCTTTCCTCTTTTACTTCAATTATTATATTTGGAACATGTTACATTTATTTTTCGAACTTTCATTTTACACGCAGTATATACACTTTGGTGTGACTGTTTGAATTGCTTGGATTCTACAAGCTTGCATGAAAGGTCAATTTTTCATTATTATCCAATTCTATGTGTGTTGGTATTTATCCCTATGGTACTTCATACTACTTTCCAAAAGTATATATTCTACTCTATCTAATCTCTTCTATGGACTCCAGACTCATTGTATTTAAAATTAAAACAATAAGCCACTTAAACCAAACACCCTCAAAACAGAATTCTTAAAAAAAAATGTTCCTTTACTTGGAGGGGTGGCTCAGCATTTAAGAGCAGTGGCTTATCTTGCAGAGGACCTAAGTTTGGTTCCCAGCACCTGTATCAAACTGCTTATAACTGTCTGTAGATCCAGCTTCCTTCTTAGGGCCTTCAGAGGCAGAGCAGATGATGCAAGCACTTAGATGTCTAAAAATAAATACAATTTAAATGAATTAAGAAAATTGTCTGTGTTATTTTCCTTTCAGTTGCTTCTTTTTCAGCAAAAACAAAACAAAAACAGCACCATAGTTTGCCAGTTGTTCAAATTAACAACTTCCTTTTTGATGCTGAAGATGAACCTAAGGTTCATAGGCATGCACTCTACCACTGAATAACTCAGTTCAAAATCTTAAGATGGGTGTTACTATAAACTCTCCTCCACATGCTGTCAACATGCCCGATCATGTATTTCCACAGTATTTGTGTCTTTCTACTTGTTTCCCTTACCATGACCCTCATACACTCCACAATATCTCACCTAGACTATCAACCACTTACAAGAGCAGTCCATTCTCTTCCATCCCTGACTTGACAGATGACTAACTCATCTTATTATACATACTTGAGTATTCTCAGCCCTTACTTATTAAAAGTCTGTTGTCTATTTCTTCAGCATACAAGGGTAATACTGGGAAAATATGGATCATGGTGACCTAAACATTCTATCATTGTTTCTAAAGTGAATAAATGGGAGAGATTCTAATTGCTGTGAAACAAGCTGTATGGGAAAGTTTGTCCTCCACCACCAAACATGGGATAGCAATGAGCTCTCCAGATTCAGCATGCCTTTAAGAAAAGGAACAATGGCTGATCACAGCAACTCTTCTTCCTCGAACATGATGCACACTCTCTCAGGCTGAAGTCCAGGGAAAGAATTTTGCCTCATGATAGAGTATACCATAGTTTCAATCACTTCATTTTTACCCTCTCTGAATACCTCATCTTGAGATATTGAGGAGGTCTGGGCTCATGTTCTCCTATTGTAATGAAAGTACATCACTACCTTCTTCTTTTGACTACTATAAATCTTCCTTTGATGGGGCTACACTTCTCAAGGATATATTGGTGAAAAAGAAGATAACTGCTTTACTTTCAACAAGCAAAACTGTGCTAATAAAGTCATGTTCTCAATGTAGCTTTTGGACTTCATCAGGCAACAGCTTAGTAGCATATGAAGTTTATTTTTTCAGTGCTAAGGCTCAAACCTGGGTACTTAGAGTAGGCAAGTAATCTACCCTTGAACTATATATAGCTCTGCTTTTTAGAAAAAGTACATTTCAATTCTAATACACTATACTATGTTTCAAGA